AAAAAAAGAAAAAAGAATGTATTCCTTAAAGGTTAGGAATAACTTTAACTTGAAAAACCAAAGATAAGTATTCAAACCCATTGCAAAAAAAAAAAATAAAATAAAATAAAAGTTGATTCTACTTTTATATATATATATATTTAAAAAAAAAAAAACCCCCGAAAGATAAACCATTGATAGACCTTTCCAAGCAAAGCCTGTATCATTGCAGACCTAGACGGTAGACCACCAAAGAGAGGAGAGAAAATACTTTTTCAAGTGAGTGATCTCTTTGCCACACAAATCAATGAAAATTAACAAGTTTATTTTTCTTAATTTTATTTTACAAAATAACTACCGAGAAGATTAGAAAATTCAAATTTTTCTTAGTTAGCACTTGGGACATTTTGATCTTCTTTTAATCCCAAAGTTGTATGTGTGGATGATTGTTAAAGGAGCTCTATCCTTGGACTCTAGGTTTTATCATCAAAGTAGCAAAAATCAAAGCTATACATCAACAGGCATACTTCGTTAAAGTTGGTCTTTAAACCTTTTTTAACTGTTAATGAATTTATAAGAATCCTAAATAAATTGAAAGAAGAAAATTTAAAAATTTTGCTTCCATTGGGTTCTCTTAAATTTTCATGAGACTCATTAATTAATTAGATTATAAATACACATATGGAAATGGTAACACCTCCCAATACAAAACACAATAATTTATTTATCATGTTATGGACTACACAAATTAAGAATATCATGTTATTATATAGAATTTCTAGCTGCCAAGTCTTCCACGTTAAACATCAGCGGAAATGGCTTTGCAGAGAGAACTGTGATCTTGACTCTAATAAATGATTATGTCTAAACACTATAAACCATTGTAAGACATGTTTCAAAATAACTATGGATAAATCTACATTGATGATTGTTACATGTAGAGCCCGAAACAGGTAAGCTGCTTTGTAAACAAATGAAGAACAAACACAAAAAAGTTCAAGGAAATAAAAGTGGGAAACAAAGGAAAGCAGGATATCTGAACAGCACAATCATGGTAGGGCGTTGCCAAATACGTACGCCTTTTATTATTCTCTAGAAGGAAAATGAAGAATATTCCTTTGCCGCCGAAATGCAATTCAGGAACTCATCACCTTTTCCTATTTATTCTGAACTCTGAAGCAATGCCAAGGATTCTCTTCTGCAAATAAAAGAAAGCAAATGCCTTTTAAATCTACCTCTTTGAGCATGAAAATGACATTGGCAGGTGCTTCAAGCTAGAAACATCAAACAACTCCATAAACCTCTGATCTGAAACTCTAGCTTTTGCAGCTGCAAACCTTTGGTACTCATCAAATACAGATGACAAGCACCACTTTTGCAATTTTCTCAAGCATCCCACTATGCAGCCAGTTCGGTGCTGAACATAGGAAAACCAAGCAACCACAACAATCTCAGAAGATATTGAACTTTCTAAACTCATTTATGAAATCATACAAAGAACTAAGGACATACCTTCCCACGTTTGCAATGAATTAGAATTGGATGATTCCTTGCATCTGCATGCAGTGAGTGAAGAATGAATTATTCAATATATTCAGTGCACTAAAATTAAGACAGAAATCAAGTGTGACAGATGCTAGAGCTCATAGTACCGAGGACCAATTTTAGCGCTTCACGAATTGTATCCTCTGGAATATTTACAAATGGCTCCTGAATGAAAATTTTGCATGTTCGTAAGTTCAAAGTAACAAACTTTCTTTCAGATGATATCATATAAAAACTAAGGCGTTTCAGTATTATACTCCCAATAAACAAACCACTAAAACCTACAACGCTGTCCTATAGGCAGCCCAACTAATGATATTAAAACTAGAACATGAAAAGAAATTTTTTAAACATTTAAAATCCAATTTGACAATATAAATTGAACCTACATGGTATCTAGTATTATAAGATTTCGTAAAATCACTGCTCATCAATTTATCATTTATGCGAGGAGACTAGAACCATAATTTTCTATAATGGCAACTATATTACCAGAGATTCTGACATTCTCTTGACCAAAACCATGGTGTTGCGGCAGCATTTTAGAACTACTTCACCATATTTCAAATGGTTGATCATTTGATCACAAGTTCAATGTAACAAAGCTAATCATCAAAAATATAGTTTGCTCTCTGACAATGGGAAGATTTACTTAAGAATGTCCGTGACTTATACCAAGTTCTAGCACATAATGAATTAGAACAATTTTCTTTATAGATAGCCAATAATACCTAACTATTATGTGACTGTGAGTTGTGAAAAGTGACAATTATGGACATTGAAATCATAAAACCAGTAGAGAAATTTAAAATTATACATTTTTCAGTTGTAAGGAATTTATTTCATAAGTAGAAACAATAGAAAGAAGAAAGTAGCTGGCTCCATGTTTGAGGTTCCTTTACTCAAAAAATATTGAGCCTCTGGCCTGCATAGTAGAGGGAGAGGTTGGTTGAATAAACCATTTCTTCTATTCCTAATAAATCAAAGGTGGAAAAGAGAAAAAGCACAAGGGAATGCAAGAAACAATAAATTTAAGAAGAGAGGCTATAATAGAATTGCAATGCCAATTAACTGCTGAGTCAAAATATTGCCACTTCAAAAAAAAAAATGATAAAGAACGATGTCTACTTGCAAAGAGGAGAACTGAATACAATGGGAAAAAGGATGGCCAAAAAAGAATAAGGAAAAAAATAAAACTTGAGAAAGGCTCTAAATAAGCAATAAATTTAAGCAGCTAAACAAGTTTTGGTGCACATCCAAATGGAAACCAATACAACATATATAGAAAGGTCAACTATGACTTAGTTACTCCAATAAATATGAAGCACAAAAGACTTCAAATATCCAGATGCCAAATACTTAGATGTTCGTTAATACATCTGAATCTGCAAGTATTAAAGAACAACATACAGAATACCTCATGCCTAAACTTTAGTATCTGACTCTGGATGAACAAAAATAAGACATACTAAATCTCATATTATCACATGAACAAGTTGTATCACACATTAAGGATATCTTACACATCAAACCTACCCCCCACCTGGAGAGCCTAGTGTGACACATTCTTCCCCACCCAAATACATGGAACCCCCGACACGACGAACCAACTTGCCTATGAGAATCATTCTGCCTACTCTCAGAATGCTTTTCTGCGAACTCAGGAAATACTGTGCGTGCATGTGACAATAATTAAAAAAGGCACTTATATCTGGAGTTCCCATCCACAATAATATTCTTTCAAATCATAACAGAGTTAGAAGTTGCAATAATAACCATAATAATACTACAAAAGCTTTGAAGCAGTTAAAAAATATCCAGTAAAAAGGCAGAAAAAGAGGACCTCTCCTGTGTAGACATGGTAACAGCAATTGTGATTTGACTCAATTCTTCACTATGGGAATTTGCAAACTGCCGTTATTAACATGACATCTATTACAGATGCAACACGGTTGAAAATGAAAACAATAGTGCACAGGCAAGTTTTGTTAAAGGATTCAAAATTTAATTAAATTGGAAATTTTGAAGCTTTGAAAACCTATGGAAGCGCATACCAGAATTTGCACAAACTAAAGTAATTCTCTCAGAAACTCAAGACTAATAATATTAGAAAGCTAATTCTGATAAAGAAGGAAATAATGGAGCCTTCATTAGAAATGTTTAAACTGACCAACTTCTAGATGATTCACAACACACTAAAAAGGTAAAGAACTAAAAAAATGGAACTAGAATTGAACAGAAAATATCCAGATCGTTGCTAAAAGTAATCACTTTTAGAGAATAGAAACAAAGTGCAAGTTTTTATCTTGTAAGACTTATGAGAAAGAGCATCATCGAGAGTTAAAAGGTATAAACAGTTTACATAGCACCGCAGGCAAATTAAAAAATGTGATATGAGGGCTATTTTACCCAAACCAATTCAAGTACGGCAGTCAGCAGTTGTTAGAATCCCATAGATAAAAAAGGAAACTATATAAATAGCCCATTACAATAATACCTAACAAAATCATAATCCAGCTTCCACTGGCTTTTAATGCCTAGCCACCAACACCATTACCACCACCACCACCACCCCTTCATTAGTGTATGAGTCACCCCATTAACACTCCAAGCCAAAACCAAAATTACTTTTCTAAACTTTAGGTCATTACTTGAGTAGGTAAACGGAATAACAACTTGTTTCTTTCTTTCAGAAAAGCTGAGGTCGTATTCAATAAAGAATCGTAGGCCCCAGAGATGTAACAAACTATACAAATCGCTTTTGATTTCAGGTCTTCTATTCAATATCAAAGCAGTCATTTTATGCAAAAAGAAGTATAGCAAAGAGCTAGGGATGATAAAGCAGAATTGAGAATATTGAACGATCAAGATTGCTACTTAACTCAAGGCCTATGCATCAATTAAAGGTAAAATGAAGACTACTCCGATCAGTCAAAGGAAGCAAGCAAGAATAACAAAATTGAAAAACGTTACCTTATAACTTTCAATCCCGAACTGAAAAAGCTTAATTCCGTTGGACTTCAGAAACTCCATATTTGACTCCGGGTACGGCTCCGGACACAGACATCTACATCAGCTCAACAACACAAGAAACCTAAATCCACCAGCTCTTTTGTGCATAACAACAACTACGTATAACGCGCGTAAGTAGGGAGAAAACTTACATGATGGAGTGGAGGTGGAGGGTTTGGAGAAAAGAAAAGTTAGCGGAGTCAGGGAAGCCAGACCTGAAGATGCCATTGTCGACCATGGCGAAGTTGAGAGGAGGTATCAAGTTGAGCTCCTCCACAGTGGGCATCACCGGAGACAGTACAGGCGGCGAGATGACGCGGCGGTCAACGGTAGCAACCTCAATCGTCCTGCACATCTCCTCTCCTTCGGCCTCCTGCTGCCGGTTCCGGCTTTCTACTTTCATGGATGAATAGGACATTGAAATTATGAATTCGGTTTCAAAGAGAATATGCGTTTTAGGTTCTGATGATACTGACTTGGCGACAGTTAAAAAGGAAGAGAGAGGAGAGAGGGTGGCTGGTGGTGACAGTTAAAGTGGAGGAGACAGAGGGAGCCAGGGAGGTTGGAGATGAACTTGGAATTTGGTGAGTTATATTTATAGACATTTTAAGAGAGAGAAGAAGGACAGATAAAGACGGCAAGGAAGAACACCGCGGTTGCTTTTTAAATTGGAAAATGTCTTTATATAATTTAATTTTTACTACGAAAATTTTATTGTAAAATAAGCACTCCTTTAAACTGTGTTTGGTTTAGGCATTTTCTAAAAATAAAAATTTGTGAAAGTCAAGTCAAATTATTGGCGGCTTAAGTTATAATTGGAATTAACGTGAAGGGTATGTTTATGGTTTTTTTTTTTTATAAATATTTTATTATAAAAAAATATATTATTATTTAATAATTATTTAAATTTTTTATATTAATATGATAATTAAAATATATAAAATATCAATTAAAATTAACTTAATCATAATAAATTAGTATTTTTATAAAATATTGTATAAAAAAGTAACGTGAAAATACAATTCCAAATGTAACTTTAGTTCAAGAAAAAATGATTTAAGGGTGACGTGCAAAATAATTGATCATAGGATGTATAAGGAATTAAGTCTTTCCAAAGCACTTTCCATAGAAAAAAATGTAGGAAGTTTCCATTGTAGTTGATTATACCCTCCTTGTAATGAATTATATAGAAATGAAATCACTTTTTTCTCATTATAACCAACTACAATGTTGCATTGGTCTGCATATCAAAAAATATTATTTTAGGAAAATGCCTAAATCAGACATGCCCTAAATAAATGATTTAGTCAACCATGGAAAAAAGACCAAATACATTTTTCAAAAATCATATAGGGTTGTTCGTAATGTTGCATGGTGCTTTGGTTTTTATTTCTTTTTCTTTTTATTATTTAAAAATATATAAAATATTAATTAAAATATATATTAAATAAATTAAATATATTTTATAAATTTTAAAATATTAAAAGATAAAAGAACCTACAACTACATCTTAGCATTTTGAAACGAAGCCATTGTTATAATACAATATGACATTATAAGTTTATAATTATGATGTGTTATTATGTGATTAACCTTTTTTATTCATGAATTATATGCATTCATTTATTTAAAGAAACATTATAATTGTAAATTTACAAATCTTATATGATATTATACTTATATCATTATTATACATTTTTTCTTCAAAAATAATGTATTTACAATACTACATGACATGTGAGCATAAAATTATAACATATCACATATGATTGTTTTTATTTAGAACCTACCGAAACATTGTATATCTCTATTTATTCTTATTTAATAAAATGTTATAATTGCAAACATATAGTCTCACATGGCATTGTAAGTATATTATTGCTACATTTTTTTCAATAAAAAGGCATATATCATTTATTGTATGTTTAAATAAAAGTAAAGGGAATGAAAAGGAAAGGAGAAGGGAAGGCTTTTACACGAAAGACGATGATTGAAGTTGAGCTTGTTTGTATAGTTAAAAATAAAAAAATAAAATAGAAAGTGGAGGGATAGAAGAGAATAATAATTTTTATTTCAGTAAATAATTTTAAAAGATGAAATAAAATAAAGTATTATAATTTTACTAATTAAATCAATAATTGACATATAAAAAAGTTAACCCAATCATTCTTAATATACATATACGGATCAATATCATTAAAAACCAAACAAGGAAAAGTCTTTCTTGCCCTATAACAAAGCACAGGAAAAAAAAAATGAACATAAGATAAACAAACATAAAACAATCAAACTATCAAAAACAAAAGAAATTAAGAAACCTATTAATTAGGACCATTCAAGTGCAGGAGGTCTATGGCATGGACCCTTCCCTACCCTCGACGCCTCTACAACTTCTCCTCACAGCCACCCAACATCATCACCACACCTAAGAATATTCATTTGCAGCCTAATTTTGTCTTTTTCGAACCCCCTAGAAAACCATGTGGGCAAAGAACTAGGCTATTCCCTCATAACCTTCCAAGACTTGGCTTTTCTACACAACTTAGAAATTGAATTAGTGATTCAAAAAAGAAATAGAGAAGGATTGAGGGAGAAAATGGAGGAAGAAGAAGAAAAAAGGAGTTTTGAGGAGGGAGAAGACATATTTGAGAGGGAAAAGGAAACAATTTCAATATTATCATCCATACCCTTCCACTTAGTAACTTTGTCTTTATATATCCTAGGATGCACAAGTAAATGATGCATAAACTGCCAAGGTACTATCTTAACCATGTTACACTACCACAATGTGATGCCAAAATTTCAAGGTTTTCAACTTACTAGACTAATTGTTGCAAAATGCTCTCGATTGTAGCTATTTGCAATTAGAATTTTTCAAGAGTGTTTCTATAGAGTGACTCAAGATATTTTGTGTTAAAACATGTTTTACAGCATTAGGGAGACAAAAGGAATAGTGGGAGCTTAGTTAGTGGTAGGGTGGTGCAAGGTTTGGTGCATCTAATACACATCCAGCATTACTGCATTCATGGCATAGGCTAGTGATTGAGTACTCAATATATGTGTGTTCTTCCCATGCCATGCTAACATAACTTCCCTTGTCTTTCTCCCATTGAACCCTCATTTGCCCAAAATCTCAAATTTATTTGAGAAATTAGATTGCAGACTCACCTAAAAGTGAAGAATATTACACTGAGATTTTTAGAGAATACTTGCGATAGAAATTTTGATAACTTAGATTTATAACTTGAAATAGAGACTTTTGGATTACAATTACAGGGTTAAAATTAAGAGTGTTATGAGCAATGATAGAAGCTTGGGTAGAGGTGGTCCTAGTGCTTGCACCATGCTATGTTGTGGCTTCACATGTGTAACAAGGCATTCATGCACCTATCCTACTACACCTAGCATGGGTAGCAATGCATTAGTGTTGGACTAGTGCAAGCACAAGTGATGCACTAGCTACCTACACGCCAAAAGTCTCTTTGAATATTTGTTGGCTTATATTTCAAAAAAATAGTAAGGTTTCTCATACTGACTAGAATATCAAGGGAAGATGCACTAGCTTCATCCATAAGAGAACATGAATAGAAACAAAAATACAAGATTTTCAAAGATATTATTGTTAGCATCAATTTAGTATTAAATTAATGAATCCCAATGAAAAGTTGAATTCAATTACCTACCAATAGAAGGAAATTATCACAATAGAGAAGAGAGTAGTAGAATGACAACTAGAGGGATGTTAGGGTCCCATACAAGAGGGAAAATTAGATGAGAAAGCTGGTGGCTAAGACACTAAGAGAAAATATAATTATAGATTTATTTTTATAAAAGTGACACTTAAGTCCTAAGTTCTAAACCCTAATGAATTGCCCCTCATTTTTAAATTTCTTCATAATTTCATCTTTCATTTCTAATAAATAAAATTCAACCCTCTAATTTATACTTATATTTAGATAAGCCCAAAATAATTTTTAAAGGCCTAGAAAAATATGGGGTATTCTAGTTGTTGGCATGTTTTTGTTGATATGAGTTTGTATTTCCTTTCCAAGACCACCAACAAAAAAAATATGCAACAAACTTCTCAAAACAATACACTCAAATCCTAATTTTTGTTAAGTCCATATAATATTTTGAGACACTACTACTTTGAATAAGATTTTGCCATTTACTTATTACATCATGTGCATGCCCTCCACAAAATCAAAGATTCATATTAAAAGCATGCTCTTCCCAACAAGGATATTGTTATTTATACTCAAGATATGTCTCATGCCATTGATTAGCCTTACCTCTCAAGGACAGACACAATTTGATAAACACATGTTCGCAACATTAGGGGAGAAAGGAAAAAACATTGAAAAAGCAAGAGTTAGCTACAATGCATTATATATGTCTCATTTAGATCTTTGAATGAATAAATGTGAACTAAAAGTTTTGAAAATTATTTATTTACAAAAAATTGCAAATTAGTTGTTTGATGCATTCACTAATGTAAACAAAGTAACCATATCACATATCTTAGCCTTAAATGTTCTTGCTTGAATTAATATTCATGTTGACAAAGGTGCTAAGACATTAGTAAATGAATCTACCTAAAAGCATAGTAAACCTATTGGTTTTAGAAATACAAATCTAAGAATGAAGAGAAAGCAAAAGCATAATGCTAGTCTATGAAATTGTAGAGATCTTTGCAAAGTTCTCTAAACAAGAAAAGCTAGACAATGTTTGAAAGGAAATAATTTCAAAAAAGGTTTAGGTATCTAAAACTAATGAAAAGGCAAAAATTGTAGATAATGATAAGATTTTAATAAATTATATTTCTTTTGAAGATATGGCTATTGATGATATTTGCAAATGTAATAGCATATGATATAGCCAATGAAAATGAGGATCATAAACCAAAATCCATTGAATAATGTTAACAAATAAGTGATTGGCCAAAATGGAAAGAGGCAATTCAAGGAAAATTAAAATCATTAGAAAAACATCAAGTTTTTGGGCCAGTAGTCTAAACACCAAATAATGGGTATTCATGAGAAATGTAATGAGAATAATGAGATTGTAAATTACAAAGCTAAACTTGTAGCTCAAGGTTTTACATAAAATACCAGGCATTGATTATGAAGATATATATCCTCCTCTGATAGATGTAATTACATATAAATTTTTGATAAATTTGGCAACGTTTGAAGGCTTTCAAATGTGTCTTATGGATGTTGTAACTGCTTGCCTATACAGTTCCTTTGATAATGATATTTACATGATAGTCCTTATAGGACTTAAGATACTTAAAGCATACAATTTAATCCAAAGGGAGATGTTTCAATAAAATTACAATAGTCTCTATTTGGATTGAAATAATCAGGATGAATGTCATATAACAATCTTAGTGAATATCTCCAAAAAGAGGGATATGAAAATAATCCTATTAGTTCATGTGGTTTTACTAAGAGATTGAAACTTGGATTTACTATTATTCTAGTTTATGTTAACGATTTAAATATAACTGAAACACCAAATGAGCTCGGAAAAGCAGTTGGATGCTTAAAGAAAGAATTTGAAATG